CACCCTCAAATCTTTTATAACATGTTATATACCATCCCTAATTGATATTATCCATGTCAATGTTGTGATCAGACAATCTGCCTTTTGTTAATTATCCAAACTAAATAAAACCAAGCTCAAAATTGTACTTTAAAATCTAGACTCTTTAGTATCAATATTTGACACCAATATGATACTTCAAACCATAGGAAAGTTCGTGGCTGAGGGCGTGTGCGTGTGTTATTAATAAACGACCGATTTGTGTTATTAAGTAATCGACGATGATGATTATTGATGTTTTCTTATATTTGATCCGTCTGAGCGTGAGCCTAAAAGTAAATGACCGCTGTTCAACCTGTTTGTGTTCTCGGTTTTTCTTTAATCATTTTTTACTTTTCATTTATGTGGTAAAAAAAATTCTAAAATTATAATACACGATCAGCAATCAATTTCTTGTTTGTACATGAAACTCGATTTATTTATATTATTATTATCGACAATAATAAATGAAAATGTTTTGGGGAGTTGTTTTGTTGATCCAAAGTCCTGGGGTATATTAATATATGATGGAATGAATTTGCCTCATTTTAATTTTTATAATAATAAATATAAAAAATCAGATAAAAAGCTTTTCACCAATGCGGCAAGTGGCGTATGGATTGCATAAAAATCTGATAATAATAATAATCACTGTTTTAAAGTTTATTATGGATCTGATAATTTATTTATACAATAAAAAAATTTTTAAGTTTTAAAAAAGAAAGATTTTATAGACGATACTTTTTTGTAATGTAGCACCAAGAATCTGATAATTATTGTTGCATTAAATAAAGCAAATCACAATTATCAGATTATTAGATTATTGATTTTATCAGATTAAAATTCACTCTCGCAAATTCATTCCATTAATAACAATATTAGTTATCCCAACCAACCAAGTATTAACAAATGAGAAAAGATTTCAATTCGGTTGTTTCGTATTACATTAGATATTAAATTTTGATTCTTGATTATATATATATAATGCGTTAAATATTTTCATTTATTTTTTTAAAAAAAATTTATTTTCCTACGATATATCATAACAAATGATGTAAGTATTTATTTTTTGCAGGATTTCTTTTATTCTTTTAAATAATTAATTTTTTTTTTAATAAACTTTAGGGAGAAACACATTCTTTTTTGAAAATTAAAACCACAATTTCTGTCAATCTTCACCATCATACCAATTCGTAAGTTTTTGTAATTTTAATTCTTTAGGAATAAATAATAAATCTTAATATTTAATTCATATAATTTATAGAATCCTCTTCTCTTCTTTGAGATATCTCTTTATTCTTCGAGATGACTCTTTTCTTGATGACTATATAAATTATAATCAATTAATTAATTAATCAATCAATTAACAAAAAATTTCCCCACTCTTGTATAAGAAATTATGTTTATTCTAATATGTTATTTATATTTTTTAATCTATTCCTATATTATGGCTAGTTAATATGATCTTTTTTTAAGCAAATTAAAATAAATAAGCATTTTTACATGACAAAAAAAAAATTTATTATTAAAAACTTACAATGACATATAAATGATGTGATATTTTCTTTGTAAAATATTCATTCCTCTTACAACTGTTAAACATGTTAAGTCAAACAGGTATCAAAAAAAAAAAGAAACTTGTACAAATTTGATGAAAAAGTAACCAAGAAGACAATGAAGGAAGAAAACAAATTGAAGAAGTGTGAGAACTACTACGTTCAGCCAGCATTGACAAATGAATGCTATTTTATCATAAATTTTTGATGAAAAATGGCAAATGACTATGTAATTTTCAATTCTTTAATGAATCTTGGGCAGAATAGTAATCTGGAAAAAATATCACGGTGATGAAATTGCTTCTTTTTCAGAAGAAAATGGCTTGTTAAATGATGGATAGATAAAATTTCGCATTCATCTAATCATTTATATTATATTTCGTGGTTTGGCATCATAATAAAATGTTCAACAAAGTCAGAACGAACAAACAAGATGGTTGAGAAATATTCATGAAGCTTTAGCTGGGTCGGCTAAAGAAGTTCACAAAAGAACTTATTCAGATCACATCTATAGTCCCAAGGTTTATTTGCTCAAAACTAAAAAAGGTTATGTTTTCTCACTTATTTTTACCCATCAATCCACCACCCAAGACAATATTACATACATGTTCTGTGCAGAGTTTGGTGAAATTAATGTATTGAATTTAACACATACAAATAAACCATTTAGGAATATTTTTACAATAAGTATTCTATAAACAAATCATTATCTATTATTTTATTTTAAAAAACATTATAATAATAGAAATAAATGTTCTATTTAATATGAAATATTCTGTGTGTGCACATATACACATATTTTTACTACTTCTTTACTAATCTATACACCTCACATCCTTCTAATAAATGAACCTCTTTGTTATTATTTTTAAGATTAAAATCATCTTCATAAACAGTCCAATGATAGTAATAACAATAAGGTTCATTATTAATGCTATAATCTATGAGAACTTGGTGATTTTACTAATTTGACTAGTATGAGTTATTGCATATTTGATATCTTCAACTCTGCCAAGTATTGAACTAGTAATTTGATTTTCATGAGTCTTGAAAAATAAAACTTTCATTTGTTTCAATATAGTAAAAATCATTTGGTGACCTTTTTTTTAAGTTCTAACAAACTGGATTGTAACCACTAACCAATTTCCCTGTATCCATATCATAATATTTGTAAATTCATCCCAACTCCCACTTCAAATTCATAAGGGAAATTGTTTCTATTGTATCATATTCATGGGAAAAATCATGGAATGATTACAGAGGAAAGATCGTGGAAATTTTCAAGAGTATTTCTGGAATTAAAATTCAAATAACGGACTATTTTTTATAGGGCTATAATGCTGAAGAAATTCTTTAAATGCATTTCATGAAAAACGGCCTCATAAGGTTTGATTTTATCATAAAAATCATTTGTTGATATATTATTAAACCTTATTATTGGGATAATATCTTTTAAATATTTTTACTTCAATCAAATTATCTTTATTCCATTTTTTTAGTTTCTTCAATATTTTCTTTTTTAAATTGATCAATTTCCCATTGAATAACATAATCCCAAATCTCAATCTCATCCAAATCCAAATCATTTCTTTTTAATATAGATATAAGTATTGATTTTTCAATTGTTGTGACTTCATCAGACTGCAAAGATAACTCTGGTTATATATATAACATCAATAACATTTTTTTTTACTCAAAGTTCTTTTCATATACTTCGTATGTAGTATGGTTTAGATAATTCGATTAGAGAGCTTTCTAGGAATCAGCAAAAGCGGAAAACCATCTATTTTAACTTTTCTCGAAATAGACAAAGAAATCCATGGTAATGGTGTAATTATAATAATACAATATAATGTTATTTAATATACTTTCTTCTTATTCATTATTCTAATTAATGCATTTCTAATAGAAGGATTCGTCTTCAATTGAAATGATCCATTTGTATGTTAAGTAAGTTCAATGACTTATTACATTACACACTGCATTAAGATTAATTTTTCATATTTAATATTAACTATTAATTATTTGATCTTACTCTTTAATCTTGTTCCTGTATTTTTAATGATTCTCTGATCCTTTTTTAAAGCACAAAATCCATGTAAATATATGCAATTTTATCCTGCTAATCCGAAGAAAAGTGACACCACAAACGCCTTCGGCTTAACGAGGTTGACTATGAAATAGTTTATTTAGTCAATCAATAATTGTTATTCAAGCTTCAAATATTTAAACCGTATGAAACGTATCTTTGATGATCTATTTAATAAATTTTTTTATTAAAATCAAAATCCTCTGTAATCTGATGATAATTTGGAGTTGGTAATAAATATATGGCGGAAACTGTATTTTTTATATTTAATTCTTTATTATTATTAAAATCATTTTTGCACGATATCATTATTCACTGCTTACGAGATACCGATCTTGTTATTATATTCTTAGATGATTAATTTGAACAAAAATCAAACAAAGCCATATTGGAGTCAGTGAATAAATATGTGACAAAGATTGTATTTTTTTTATATTTAACTGTTTATTAAATAATTTTTTCATGACATTATTATTAATTTCATACAATATTTTATATCTTATTATATTTAATATTTATTAAGTCACTTTTACATAACGTTGATTTTTATCACATACTATCTTGTTATATTTTTAGATGATCCAATATATCAAGCCCTAATTAAAAAGTTGTAGATAAGCATGAGGCGAAGACTACAACCTTATATTTGATTATTAATTGTTTTAAACGTTCATACTATACATGAAGTCGAAATGGTCGAAATCATGACATATCACATGAGAACCAGTGATCCAACTTTAATGAAACACGGCTGATCATAATAGTCTCATAAAGGCAGCATCGATAAATGATGAGTTATTGTGAGATACACAGGAAACAAAAATATCTCACTAATCAGCGATCTGAATTTTATGAATTAGACACCTCATCAAGAGAATTTGAATGATAGTTGTTTTATCCAAAACGGCCGGATATTGACCGAGTTATAGTAAATTTTCTGTATGTTTCGACCATTTCGACTTTTAATTTGACTTTTGACCCTCAGGTCAAAATATTTCAACTTTTGGGCTTTAATTTCGACTTCGTATATAATTCATGGTGTTTTTGTATTTTTAAATTTATTCTAATTTTCTATATGATTTCAGTAACTAAAAATACGTTTTATCATCAACTTAAACACGTTTTTACAATCAAGCAAAACACGTTTTCCATTAAACAAAATACGTTTTATTCTCATATTATTTCCGTATCGATTCTATACTGATTCCGTACTTTTGATACGGGAATTGATCTGGAAATTTTCATATTCCAGTACTTCCATACTAATACGGTTTTTTTATTATCTAAAATACCATATTTTCTATACATATCTTTTTCGTACTTTATTTTTTATAGGGTTATACAGCTTTGAAGTTTAATTTCTCCAGAGAAGAAAGGTCTTGGCTTTAATTAGCAATATTTCTATTTGTGACAAGATTCTCGATAGACTTATAAGACCTTGTGAGAACTCGGTGTAATTCTAGAAAGTTGTATCGGAGTTAAACAGTGCAACTTTATGGAATTCACAGTAATATGTTGTTGAATTAATAACAAGTTTTTAATAAAATAAGAAAATTGATGCGTTCCAGCCATACCAGCAGTAGTGTTAATTTCCGAAACAATAGGGCCTCGCAACTGTGCGATAGTACACAAGTTGAAATTGATTTTGGCTTTTGACTTTTGATTTAGTTTTGGCTTTCACCCCTTCAAAATATTTTTGACGACTGACACTAACCAGCAGCAAAGTCAAATTGAACGGCCTACACTATTGTCAAGTTCATAAATATCAAATCACCAATATCATCAACAACCGTAAATAACCAGCAAACCTATCTGATTTTAGAGTTTTCAATCGTCAGATATTCAACAGCCTTATCCGGGTTGGATATTCGAAGCGGGCATATTTGTCATCATTATATAAAGTTACCTAATATAAACCCTAATTACACAAATTGTCTCTTCTATTCTCTAACATTTGCGCAAAAAATGTATATCAGAAAGAGTTGTCAAGGTAGTGATAAATATGAACTATATGAGAACAAAAAAGAAATTAACATTAATGAATCAGATATACTTTATGAAGAGCCTGGAGAAAACGAAGTTACTAGTTCTAACTAGCTACTTACTACTCAAAGAAAACGATCCAAATCTAATAAAGAAATAGAAGAAGAACTTGAAGCTCTAAAATGATTCTTCCGAATTATTTCCAATTGTAGAAATACTAAACAATCCACCCACTCTTTCTAGCTGGATGCGGAAATGGGCCAACAATTTAAAGATGAAGATTATACAATATTTACCTAGTGAACAACTTTTTTCCCATGTAGGTTTGATTATAAATGAAAATGATCGCAACACTACCATAGATTCGTTGAAAAGGAGGTTTGACTGTATCTTGACTTAACTAACTGTTAATTTTAACTATCCTCATACCCAATCCGAATATTTTTCGGAAGATGAAATTATTTTTGACCAATAAAGGTATTTCTACTATCCAAAATCATGTATAATTACTTGCAAGGTTTTCTCTTGTGACATTAGATGTATCGCCAGTATCAAAACCTTCATTGTATTCAGCCTCATTAAATGATTCATAAAATTCACTCGTTACACTCATTGTTACAATGCTTGTTTTCTGACAAAACTTTTCTTTTATTCAAGTTTCAAGTAGCAAATTTGTGTATTCTACGAATTCTTTATTTTTAAAAATTTTATGAATTTATGGCTAACAAAGAATGTAGGTGGAGAAGCTACAAGGTGAACATTATTGTACCAATTAATTGTGTGATTTCGTCATACAAAAAAAAAAACAAAAGAAAAAATTGTTGTTGCTTGACATCATTAATATTAGTCAAAAGAAAAGATTGATACTCTCTAGTAGCAGCAACAACATTACACATTAATTATAAAAAAATAAAATAAAAGAAATTTGTATGGTTGTTAACCACAGTTAAATGGTAACAATGCCAACCTCTAACCCAATTACAATGTTTCTTCATCATTTTGGTTTCCATTGATTCAAAATAGAGAGATTTTTGTTACTTATGACTATTTTCTTCTTTAATTGTTATTTATATAGTTGGCTTGGTCTAATGACCTCCTAAATTTTGGACAAATTTTAAAAGTATAGAAGTCATTTTCTGTCCTATCTTTTAAAAAAATAGCTCTATTAGTTGATAGAATATGTATTTAGTTTTAATGTAATATTCTTTTTTAAAACATGTACTTTACTATGCTCATGAGAAATTTGAGCACTAGGATCATTTCTAAATTCAGACTAGTTTTTTTATCATCATTACTAAATTTGGATTAATACTCGACCATCAAGATAATAATTTTTAAACCAAAATCATGTGAAACCCTTTTTTTTAAAAGCATTTTTGAACGAATCACAAAATCGCATTTTGTTGAAATTTAGCATGTGGTGCAGCAATAGGAGGTCTTTAGACCAAGCTAACCATACAAAAGTACAGTCAAACGCACAGTTCAACAAACTTCGCATTGCAACTTTTTGGTAGCCAGTAAAGTCACGTGATAGATAAAATAATATATAATAAGAAATCTATTAGTTAATTATAAATTTTTCCCTAAAAATGGGAATCTCACTCCTCCCATAATTAAAAAAACATACCAACTTTTATTTCTGTTGTGCATGAAAATGAAATTTATTTGCAATTCACACATGTTAAATTCAAATTAGCCAATCAGAATTTCATATCCAAACACCCACCCCAAAAAATTTTAATTATACAACATTTCCAAAAGGTTATATATATTATTTATAACAAATAAGGGCTTTAATAAAAAAAAGGATTTTGATAATAATAAAAAGGATAAGAAGATAATGGCTGCAATGCCCAATATAATAGTTGGAAAAAATAAAAAGTTATATATAATATAATTTTTTATATTTTTGAGATTTATTCTGCCAAATATAAAAAAGTCTTGAAAAAAAATGTCAATTGAGCAGATTTTTGTCAATTTTACTATGTTGGTTATCTCTGTAATAGATTTCCACACATGATTGGTAAATCACAAATTAAGTAAGTTTTTTATTAATCCACTAATTTCTGACAATCAACAAATATCATTGTAAAAGGTCTAGGTCCTCTCCAATTTTTTGTAAAATTATCAAAAGAATTGACATTAATAGTAGAAAACTCACAAGGAAGTATTATTGACTTTAATTTTTTTGGTAATGTTAGATTTAGTACTGAAAGTATTTTATCACCATCAAATGTATCCACAGAATCAACTTTATGAAATATAATACTTTCTAATTTAATACAATTATTGATTACATCAGTTAACTCCTGGTTTACTTCATTGTTATAAAGTATTCTTAAGTCTACTAGATTTTTACACCATAATGCAATTGATTGAAATAGCTTTCCCAAAAATTTAATATCAAATAGATTACCATCAACATCTAGATATTTAAGAGTTTCTCCACTGATGTTAATAAAATCAGACAAGTCTGATAGAAATTGTTGCCAATTAATGCATATGTTTACAGATTCAATTTTTGGCTGTGGAATATTTTTCAAATGTTCTATTCTGAAATCACATATCAATATTAAAGTCTTCAAATTGTTAAATGCTGTTAATAATATATGATCCATATTATTTAATCCATCACTTGCATAATAAATTATTGATTGTGAATGTGCAAGAATTGCTTTTTTGAAATTATCTGAAGGTTGATCAATGTCTAAACAAATGGTTAATTCCTTTATTTTATTCTGTGCTTTGATTAGTTGA